GCCCACTGGGCATAGCAGCCGGTTTTCTTGGGGTCCATGTGAACCAAATCGTGCACGCCAGACAACACACTCGGGCACAGTTGAAGTCGTTGCTTTGTTTCCTTTTTCAAGCCGTACACCCAGCCTGATCGAGGTAAGCAGCTAAGAGTTTTGAATGCAGAGTTAAGAGAAGTGGAGAAAGGAAAGTAAAACCTGGGTCCCCCTCCCCAAGAATGGGAGGGCTCTGCAGTAGACGGGGAGAGGGCTGGGGAGTTGAGGATTTGTGTGGGAGAAAAATGTCCTGCCTGGCGAGAAGAGCAAGAACTCTGAAAGGAGGCAGCTCCTTTATTGAGTGTTCCACTGGGACTTGTGCCTTGGTGGATTCTTCATATATTACAGTGAATTTAATTAAATACATTGGGATCCCAATTGAGGGTATTCTAATTAGCTGGGTCAGGAACAAATTAGACTCTCTCCTTCTCCAGATGAAAACATCTACTCTCTTCTGCAGGGCAGGCATGTCCTTGGCTGACTGGCTTGCCCTGGTGGAGTCCTCACTGGCCTCTCCAGCCCCAGCGCCTCCCGCTGCTTCTGATGAGGCAGGTTCCCCGGGTGGAATCCTGGGGATAGAGCCAGTGCCACTTGGGAGGGAGAGGGCATCTGGCCAGCAGGTCGGGGCATTGACCAGCTCAAGACCTGGGAAATGACCACATGGTGTGGAGAAGGTCACAGAGGGCAGGACCCTAACTGCTAGCTTTGGGTCCCTGTTTGCTCCAGGCTGGACAGCTTGAGAGGTACTGAGTGAGAACTTATAAAATTTGGTTAAGAACAGGATCTTTGACACGCAGGTAGACTCAGGTTGTGAGCCTAATTTTGGGTTGGGGTGTAACCTTTATAAGCAGGTGTTTCCTGACAACCAAAAAATGGTTTATTCTGGATTTTTTTCCTTTTTTTTTTTTTTTTTTTTTTAATGTGTTAAAGAATGAGCTTGGAGTTCAAAAGCCAGCTTGGAATTTTGAATTGAGCTTTTGTGCAAGCCTCTAAGAGAAGACACTAAATATTCCCTAGACCAGGATCAGAGGAGGAGGCCTTGGCTCTGTTCACCTCGTTTCCTCTACCATTTGTAGCGTGTGTCCATTTCCCTTCCAAAATGGCTCTCCAGTGGCAGACAGAAGAACTCCTCGTGGCATAAGAGATTGCCATTGGCCATCATGAGTGCGAGTGTAGAATGGTTTTGGAACGTTTTCATCCTACTATTTTTAAATCAGGAGTTCCCCAGTATGATGTTCATCACAATTCAGGATTTATATAGTTCTATTACCCAAGAGCCCATGGATTTAAGGACAAAAGACTTTTGACATCTCAACTCCCATCCAACTCTTTTTTGGCCTTGTTATCCTCTCTTCTGGCTCAGAGATTGGAAACTCCAGCCATTTGGAAAGGAACCTTCATATCCATATTAAAATTTTATGTTTAAGATCCAGTGCCTTATTGCAAGGAAATCCTGTCTCACAGGAAGGTAATGGGAATTTGGGGGTGTAAAGCTCTGGTGATTCCTGTTCTGATTTCATAGTTGATAATATTACTGAAATCCCTTGATAATACTTATTGCTTTGGATTCCATGGCTGTTTTCTCTGTTATCTTGTATTTCATCAGTTGTTGTTGAAACTCTTAATAAATGTAATTCTTTTGGTTTCAGTGACCCAACACAATGGTATACATTTCCTTGTATGGGCTCTTGTAAAGTTTCCTGCTCCTTAATCCCAAGCCAAACCCTTGCTCCCAGGAATATCTTAGTCCACTTTCTGGCTTTTTTGGGGGGCACTTTGTGGAGAGGTCGGGGAGAATGAACATGGGCAAGCTCATCCTTTTCCTTTACATCTAGCCCACTAGACCCCCCTCTTCCCCAGGCTTGCAGCCTCAGGAAAACAGGGCTTTGGTGCATTCCACCCTCCCAAAATCCTCTGCAAGGAGCGTTGTCTCAGACCAGGCAAACAGAGGATAAACTGTTAAAAAAAAAAAAAAAAAACCCGCTCAAATTTATTTCAAAAAAAGTAGCTTTTTTTTTAAATTATGTTAATCACCATACATTACATCATTAGTTTTTGATGTAGTGTTCCATGATTCATTGTTTGTGCATAACACCCCGTGCTCCATGCAGTATGTGCCCTCTTTAATACCCATCACCAGGCTAACCCATCCCCCCACCCCCTCCCGTCTAGAACCCTCAATTTGTTTTTCAGAGTCCATTGTCTCTCATGGTTCGTCTACCCCACTGATTCCCCCCCTTCATTTCTCCCTTCCTACTATCTTCTTCTTCTTCTTCTTTTTTTTTAAACATATAATGTATTATTTGTTTCAGAGGTACAGGTCTGTGATTCATCAGTCTTACACAATTCACAGCGCTCACCCTAGCACATACCCCCCCAGTGTCCATCACCCAGCCACCCCATCCCTCCCACCCCACCCCCCACTCCAGCAACCCTCAGTTTGTTTCCTACAATTAAGAATTCCTCATATCAGTGAGATCATATGATACATGTCTTTCTCTGATTGACTTATTTCACTCAGCATAACACCCTCCAGTTCCATCCACGTCGTTGCAAATGGCAAGATCTCATTCCTTTTGATGGCTGCATATATTCCATTGTATATATACACCACATCTTCTTTATCCATTCATCTGTCGATGGACATCTTGGCTCTTTCCACAGTTTGGCTGTTGTGGACATTGCTGCTATAAACATCGGGGTGCACGTGCCCCTTCAGGAAAAGTAGCTTTTTATTATCAGTCGTTATAGTTGCCTTACCAGTTAACATTGAGCTCGCTGGTTCTTCAGACCCCTTCTGGTTGTGAAATTCTTTTGGGGTGGCTGTTCCTGGTTGGGGTGTCACGTTGTTGCAAAGCTCTGCTCCTGAGTGTGTCACATCAGCCGTTTGGGGCTAAAGAAGGGATTGTTGTCTGTTGGTAACTATGAAGCCCTTCACATTTTTACCTATACCTTGGCCTCAGAGCAAGAGTTATTATGGATTGGTTTAGCCAGTTTACATGATGGAGAACCTGGGCCTCCTCCCTCCCCTCCCCCACAGTGATTTATCTGCGACATTGGTGCATTCGTATTTCCTCTTGCACTAAGGCTCAAACGTGCTTCTAGAATTTTCATACTTTTCCAGTGAACAAAATATACACCCATGAGCACCTGAGCTGCAGAGCTTTGTCATTTGATAGGAAGTGCTGGTAGGGCCTCTCTGTTTTTTTTTTTTTTTTTTTTTTTAAGATTTTATTTTATTTATTTGACAGAGAGAGAGAGAGACAGCTAGAGAGGGAACACAAGCAGGGGGAGTGGGAGAGGGAGAAGCAGGCTCCCGGCCGAGCAGAGAGCCCGATGCGGAGCTCGATCCCAGGACCCTGGGATCGTGACCTGAGCCGAAGGCAGACGCTTAACGACTGAGCCACTCAGGTGCCCCGTCTCTCTGGTATTTTTAATATTGGATGGAGTGCAGGGCATTCTAACTGCTCTGCCTTCTCAGGGTCTCAAATTATAATCTGGATAAGAAGGCTGTCCAAGCAGGATGAGCAACAGTTTTCATGACGTGGGCCCTCAATGGGACAAGCACAGGTCAGAAAGGAGAGGAACAACACAAATTATTTCCAAGGCATCTGTGCAGGTCCTTGGACCAGGCTCTGGGGCCTGGGGATGTGAGTGCAGAGAAAGCGGGTAATAACGTAAGCACATAAAACACATGATCTGAGTTTCCTCCTCCAAAAGGATTCTGCGGGATGGGAGACATTGGTTCTAGTTCTCTCTCTGTCTCCCACTAACTACCTGGGTTACCTTGGATCATTGACTTAAGTTTTCTGGAATTGTTGCCCCTGCTTTATGTGCAGCCGATGGAAAAATTCCCTCTTCTCCTAAAATGGGTCATTTGTAATGAAGGACATATCCTTTCTATACCAGGAGCATGTCCCTTCCCCAGCGGTTAGTGAAAAGGGCCCATAGCTTTCATCGTATTCTGAGGCAGAAAAAGTTTGTGGGTTTTGTCCTTGGATTATCTGAGTCTTCTCCTACACACGGAAGTCTGGGGTCCGCTGACTGTTTCCATGACCTCTCCTGTCCTTGCACCCCTCACTTTAATCCTGTGTGTGCCTGTTTTCTGCCAGCTTTGGGGCCTCCTTGTTCTGGAATCAGTACTGTACCTACACAAACACAAGAGAGGTGTAATTTTGACCATCTGATGCACTACAGCCAAATGACCTTCAGATGTTGACAGGGAACCAGTCTGGAGAAGTTTATTTTTCTGTCATTTTTTTTTTTTATCCAAAGGAAAATCTAATTTTAGTTTCTCCTCATAGACTGTGGTTCTAAGTATAAAAACTTGACCTGTCATTCCTGTGAAAAAGCCAGACGGCAGCTTTGGCTTTGTGTTAGTGACCTGGGATTCGGTACAGGGAGGGTGACCCTTTGGCGGTCACCTAAGGCAGGGTTTGGCTAACTTTTTCGGCAAAGGGCTAGATAGTAATAGTTGAGGCTTTGTGGGACATGCTGTCTCTGTTGCAGCGACTCAAACTCTGGTGCTTTGAAAGCAGAGACTACGCAGATGCACGGAGGTGGCTGTGTTCGGTTAAAACTTCATTTACAAAAATAGGCAGCAGGTTGGATTTGGCCCGTGAGCCACTGTTTGCCGGCCCTCATCTAAATAAAGCAGGACGCTCTGGAGGGTGAGAGGGGGAACCTTTGATTATCGTGCCAGGAAGACCCGGGTGGCATGGGGAGGGTCCGATCCGTCAGCAGCAGCCCTGTGAAAAGCCACAGGGGCGGAGGGGGGCCCTGGGGGGACATGGGCACGAGAGTCCGCCGGCTGCTGGTCCTTGGAGGGAGGTACGCTGGCGGAAATGGACCCACCCCTCCGAGGAGTCTCAGCACGGGGCTGCGGCCGGTCCGGGGCGGGCGCGTGGCGGTGGCGGTGGCGGTCTCCGAGGGGCTTACCCACGGCGTGTCCCTCTCCTCTGCCCTCACAGCACCTGCAGCAGCACGAGAGCGGAGTGGAGGGCGAGAACTGCTATTACCACTGCGTCCTGTGCAACTACTCCACCAAGGCCAAGCTCAACCTCATCCAGCATGTGCGCTCCATGAAGCACCAGCGCAGCGAGAGCCTGCGCAAGCTGCAGCGGCTGCAGAAGGGCCTTCCGGAGGAGGACGAGGACCTGGGGCAGATCTTCACCATCCGCAGGTGCCCCTCCACCGAGCCGGGTGAGTGGTCTCGCGGGCCCGGGGGGCCCGGGGTGGGGGGAGCCTGTGGCTGGCTGCTGCTGGTGCCCGCGTCCGTCCCCGACCTCACAGGGGACCCTTGTGTTCCGGAGGGAACATGGCGAGCATTCTTGCCCTTTTTTTTTTTTAAACCAAAGGAACTCAGCACCGCCTTTCTTCAGGTGTCACGGGCTGCAGCCCAGGGAGCAGGACACCTGGAGATGTTTGGTCCCCTGTCCCCCAGTTCCTCTGGTTCTAGAGTCCACACTCAGTGTGTTGCTTCAGAGGGACATAAGGCAAATGCTAAATGATGTCAGTCTCGGTGGTGAGAATGGGCGGTTTGTGGCCCCAAGTCCGGCGTGGAAGATTGAACCTCAGACAGGATCCCATACAGCCAGTGCTTGCTGTAAACATGTTCACCGGGCTCGAGGGTGGGCTCTGCGAGTCATGGCCCCGCGCCTCCTGCTTGTCCGCAGAGTCGGGGCCTTCTGGGGGGACCTCTCCACTTTCTGCCCCCGTTCCTGTCCTGTCCTCCTACTGCAGGTGCCTCGTTCCAGTCCACGCCTCAGCTTACCATAGCCTGTCTCCCCCCGTCATCAGACCACCCTTGAGAGTTCACCATTGACCTTGGATTTACCCAATCCAGTAGCTACCCGCTAGGCCGCCTTCTTTTCTTTCTGTGGTCTCTGGAAGTCTTGCCCGGTCCCATCCCGCAGCTCCCTTCCCTGGGCTCCCAGCCTGTGTTTCTCTCTTGTCCTGCTTTTCATGAGCATCTTTCCATGCCTGTCCCTGGCTTGTGGTCCGCAGTCTGCCCCACATGCTGGCGTCAGCCGGGCATTAGGCCCTGGCCTTTGGCTCCCGGCCTCTTAAAGCTTTGATCTCCTGGCGTTACCAGATGCCGTCAGTAGCTCCCTGGATTTCTCGTTGGTGCCACGGCATAGACTCTGAGCTCACCACTGTCCCCTCCAGACTTACTCTCCTGGTGGCACGCTGTTACCCCGGCTGGCCACACTGGAGACTCAGGGCTTTCCTTCATCCGCCCATCACCCGCTGCACCCTTTGCCACCGAGCTGTAGTGGCCCAGTGGGGTTTTTAATCTTAATTTTACCAAATTTCACATTTTTATAGTTTCTAAAGGCAACAAGTTATAGAAACGTAATGAAAAAATGGCATGACCCTCCCTCTCCCACATCCCCGTGCCCAGAGCAATAGCTTTCAACTTCCACTTGTTTCTTTTGCTACTCTTGTTATTTCCATATTTCTCAATGTGCTTCTACTACCGTTTCGTTTTTGTTGTTGTTGTTGTTTTAGACATTCCCTGTTGGCTTTCTACTCTGAAAGATGAGGATTTCACTAGTACACCGTTCTACAAATCACACACTCCTCCTCACACACACCCCACCCACAGACTAACACACAGACACCCCAAACTCCATACACACACACACCATCCCTCCACCCCCGACACCACACTCCCCAGCCCCCGTTGCATACCCAGTCTTCCCCTCCCTCCGTCTTCCATGATGATTAAATAATAATTTGGGGTTATATTAATATTCAGTGTTTTCGTTATTCTGACTCTATAAATATTAATCACAGCTGAGCCATGTAGAGTTTTATAATTTCATTTACCTTCTTGTACAACTTTTTATTTTCCCTGGTTTTCTAGGTACCTATGATTAATTCATGGCTAGCCCTCTGCCAGAGTAGACATTTCCTAATCTCTGAAGGCCCTGCCAGATCAGTTGCTCTCTCAGCTTCGTTCTTCCCTGGAGGTGTCCCTCCTGAGCCCCTGCAGACCCCTGTGCCCCTGCCCTGCCCCCATCCCCCAGCTGCTCCTTCGCTCTTTTTTTTTCCAAGTAAATGAAATGACCGGATATCCGGAAGTGGGAGACTGGTGTCCTCCCTGCTGGAGTAGCTGAGGTTTCATTATCACCGTGGAAAGGCGAGTCCTCCTGGCAGGCTGGGTGAATCATTTCTTCGGGAACCAGGATCATTTCTTGGGTACCAGGATAATTTTCGTCACCTCTGGGTCACTGCAAAACTGTCCTTTCCCGTTTGATTTTCAAATGCCCCTTCTGGTTAAAGTTCACATGTCGTAATCTCTGGGGCTTCTGGTTGGTGTGTGTGCACATCTCTCCATGTGTGCGTGCTCAGGAGCGGGGGATGAGACCGGCGCCCACAGACCCATCTGTCCCCTTGTGCCATCTGGCTGTGGGGGTCCCCGTCCTCCACATTTTGGCCTCTGTGTGATCCTGCCATTCCCATTATTTTGCTGTAAAGTCATTTTATAGGATTCTCCTTCCTCCACCCATAAATGCAGACCTATTTATTTCAGGGTTGGGTTTTTCGTTGTTGTTGTTTTTAAATTTTTCTTCTTCTTTTTCTTTTTTTGCCAGCTCTGCACACGTCATTGTTTTAATCTTCTGTTAAAAGCTGGTCCCTTTCGCCCTTCAATTCTTTCTTTCACTCTACTCAGAATTCCCTTTTTATTAATGAGGTGCCCCAAACTAAATAGTGTACAGCTGCCATTTCACCCGGAGTCTATGGACTGGAACAAACAGTTCCCTGTTTTATAATGTAATACTTCTATTTATGCAGTCCGCTCTGGAATTGCTTTCTTACACCATTGCCTTCTGGGTTTCTCTCGTTTAATGCGTATTAGGAGTTATTTTTCCCCCTGAAGTGTATGAGCAACTTTAGTCTAGATGATAGACTTCCTTTCTGTATTTCAAAATCCTTTTGTATTGTCTTTGGCCTGAAGTCATGTTTTTGCTCTCCACCCTCCTCCCTCCCCACCCTGCGCCCTCCTCCCACTCGCGCTCGGGCTACGTCCGTACTCCTCAATCATGACAAAAGGACAAATTATTAGGTAATATTCACATTGACATTAAAAGTAACTGGGTGCCCTTTCAGAAACCCCTTTATGACAACTCATCTTAAAATATATCCTCCCTCCCCCAGGGATTGGCTTTTAACTTCTTGAAAGAATGTTTTTTAAGAAAAGGGACATTGTGGACTTCACAGAATGAAGACACCGAAGGTCATCAACTTCAAATTTATCAACAGAGACTTGATCCTATATTCTCAGTTTTCTCTTCTCTCACGTAAGGGTCAGGACATTAATCTTCAGTGGGAAACGTCATTCGTGTAGTGTAAGGAAGCCTCGGGGAGTCTTTGAGCACCTTTTGGGGACTCTGCTTGTTCTGACTGTGAGCTGCACGTAACTGATGTGCTGTCTAGAGTTTTCTCTACTGGCCTCCTGTCAACATCTCGTTAAAGGACGGTGGTCTTTCTTCCCTCCTCTCCTCCTCTGCTGTCCATGCACCAGAAAGTTTTACAGCAGAAATCCCTTTCTTTTCTTCTCTGAGCTCAGTCTCCTGTCCCCTTGTGCAGGTACCCAGACTTCCCTTGCTGCGGCTCGTGGAGAGAACACTAGAAGGGTTTCTTCCCGATGGTGGACAAACATAGCCTTTCAGATTTTACCTGTTCCCTTAAGTCAGTATGTTTTCCAGTCAGTCCAGCTTACTGCATAGTCTGCCAACGCAGGTGAATTTGGAAGTATGGAGAAGGAAACACTGGAAGTCTCCGCTGCCCTTCACCTCTTTGTGGTCGTGGTCAGGGTTCACCCCTGTCACCGATCACGTAACCCCCAGAGAGGCCTCATGGCCAGACATCAACCATCTAGGTCCTGCCCTACACCAGAGGGCCAAGTCTCGGTTGTTGGAGGTGCGCTAATAATTAGGCTACTGTCCCCTACGTGGTCCTGCTTGGGGTCAAGCTTTACCCTTACGTCAGTGGGCGAGCCACGTCCTGTATCGTATCATCTTTAACCCAGTGTGACAGTTTTGTGGTTATGCTTACCACTCTCACCCCCACACTAGAAAGGCAGGCAGGCAGGCAGACAGACACAAACACAGTGGGCCTTCCCATTTAAAAAATGACTTGGAAATACACAGCTCAGAGCAAAGGGAGTAACTTAAACAGATGAGGTCTCCCCCCACCTCCCAGCCTCCCCTGGCCTGGTTGTGTGGTTGTTGACTTGAGTGTATGTTCTGCAAGACCACGTAGTGTCTGGACTTTGTTGCGATTTGGTCTCGTTTCATCCGTACAACCAGGTAGAGGTAGAGAAGGCCTGTTGTTAGGTGCTGACACACTGGGTTATGTCTCTCAGTTCCTGTCACTGGCTGTTTACTTCCCCTTAGTTGACCAGAAGCTCTTGAAAGATGGAAAGCTCTCATAGGTGGGTCATGTGTAGGATCAGCTTCCCTGTTTGCTTATTAAAAAGGCATTTCTGGCTCCCGGGTGAAACTGTAGTTAATTTCACTCTATCAGTGCCCCAGGCTTCGAGGAGACAAGAGGCCCTTTGTGCTCCTGCTGTCCCCCTGCCTTCTTCTCCTCCTCCTCTTCCTTTTTTTTCTGTCTCACCCTTGCCTTCACTACTTTTTCCTTCACATAGTCCTAGATCTCCAAACTTTGCCCACATATAATTGAATGGTTCTTGATCGCGTGCCAACTGTGTACAAGACTGTGTGTGAGTTGGGGGACGCCGCTGACGTCTCCTCTCATCTCTCCATGTGGATTCCCTGGTCGAGACGCCAGCCCAGGCATTCGAGGCGATCAGATGATGACTCAGCTTACAGAAGACACAACCGTTTGGAGTCTAAGAGAATACTTTGTTTGGGGCGGAAGCTGGCATCCCCCTTTACTGACCCATCTTTGGCGCTCAAGGTCGTGAATTCCCGGGGTCGGGAGGCAGGGGCCGGCCAAGTGATGATGGGGATCTGGTGACAACCCGTACTGAAACTCACTGGCTTCCCTTGATGGATTATTTTTTCAAATCAACTTTCGGGAAGGTTTGCTGAACTCCTACAGCTTAAGAGAGTAAGAAAATGTTCTCTCTTCAACTTTCTCATTTGTTCTGTTTTTATTTTTCAAAATTGGCATAAGGCTGCCCTTCATACTAAGTATGAAGTATGTCTTTTTTTTTTTATAAGTAGCTA